ACCTCTTCTTTTACCACTAGAAATACATATCCCCCAAGACTCCTCATCACTGTTATAAATATGTCAAGAACAGCAGTGTGTATCATTGGCTCCAACCCTCACTAGGAAATTGACTTGAAGAATTGTATTGGTGCTCTCTGCTAGGTATACATAACAAACTCTAAATCCCTAAACGAATATTATTAAGCAGTTTAGAATGAAAGTTTTGAGCACAGGGTTATTGGAATCAGATTGACCTTGGTTCTAAACTTCTCTCCACTACTTACAAACTGTGTGGTCCTGAGCAAATTACTTTTCAGATTTTCAGTTTCTCCACCTGTAAAAATGGGTATGTTTTCCCAACATTAATGGTTTCTAGGAATGATTGAATGGGGGCACATGTGTGAAGTGTAGGGTACATTTGGAGTTGCAATACCCAGGAGCAGCAGGGACACTCTGGCCCTTCGTGGTNGTAGGGTACATTTGGAGTTGCAATACCCAGGAGCAGCAGGGACACTCTGGCCCTTCGTGGTCCAAATCCTTGCTTCCACTAGTTAGTGACTCTCTGAACTTGGGTAAATCACTCAGCATTATGATATCTCTCTTTTCTCTCTTATAAAATGGGGATGACACTAACAAAAATACCTTTGGGATTGCTGTGAGAATAAGTAAGCAAAAATAAAAATAAATAAAAGAACTTAATGATTCCTACCACATAACTCATTATATTTTAGCCCTAATCATCCTTTGCATCAATTTACAAATGGGACATAAACTTCTTTAGCATTAGGCACCAAAATAATTAATGAAAACATCTCAAAATGTAAATTTATTATATAGAGATAGAACAAAACAATTGGACAAGCATGACATTCCTCATTATGCTTATCGTGATTTCCAGCCATAATTTGTCCTTCTTTGATTTTATTTTTGCCCCAGAAAATAAAAACACTCCTCTACACAGTGAAATTTTAGAAGTAGAAATATGGCAATATTCATAAAGATTAGTCCTAACAATTCTTCCAAAATATACCCACTCTTAGGATCTGATGACTTTTTCGGCTGATGTGCCATTTGTGGTAATTCATAGAAGTACACAAGTCAGTAACACCAAAAGTCACATACAGGCTGAAAATGTTGAAACAGCAAATCAGTTATGAGATGTAAAAAATGGTAGACACAAAAAATGAAGAATATCTCTGACTGTGAAAGGTCAAAATGAGTTAGTAAGGTATTAACTTCGCTCATTTATCAAATGATGAATCAACTTTTATAAGAAATATTCAGTGTTTTCAAACTGCTTATCAAGGATCCTGATTCTGTCATCTTACAGGCCTGTATTATTGAAATTTCCAAAACACCACTTAATATCTTAATTGTTAAATTACAGTGACGCACCCTGGAGTATGAAAATAACTCAAATTTGTAGCTTGTTTCTGTCTTCCTGTGCAGAATAAAGTTTTCAAAATGAGGGGCTTCGAAAGTGTACCACGTTTAGCCAGATGAAAAACAAACCAGATTGGAACTATAGTCAGCAATAGAAAGAGAAACAAATTAAGTACTTATAATTGAAGCTTGAGGAATGAAAGAATTCACACTTTCTTAGAGCTATTATTTCAGACAGTCTGGTGTCAGAATTAAAAGCCAACCAGTGCATCTGTTTATATTGCCAAGGATTTTCACAGTAAGAAGGGCTAGGAAACACATATTTTTTAATTAGGGTCCAAATTCCAAAGAACACTGAAAAATAGTATGTCAAAAATATATGTTCTTGTGATTTTTATTGTGCAATGTCTAAACAAAGACACAAAACCACGTTGCTTACTTCTCCTTCACAAGTACAAGTGAAGAGATTAGAAAAAAAAAAAAAGTAATTCTGTTTCTTTGGCCACAGACTCCTTTTTTTGTTATCCTGCCTGCTTCTGGCTTAGCTTCTGCTTTCCTTTCCCAGGATGAAATAATATAGGAAGAGCCACTTAAGGAAGGCTTCATTCACACAGAAGGTTCACCAGTACGGCTCAGTCACCAAGCTTTAGAAGTTGAATTACAATGGCTATCTAAAACGACCATTTTACACTTTAAAATACATCTCCTAGTTTTCAAATTTGCATTAATGCTTTGCTAATCTTGAGCTTCTAATTAAAGCAAAGTCCTTTTTAAAAATCCATACTGATGTACAAAACATTGTAGTTCTCAGCTCTGTCATTAACCCATTTTTACTTCTCACCAGCAGAATTAGAGGTATTTTCTGCAATTTCAAAGGTCATTCCTTTGGTCAGTGAAAGAAAAAAAAAACAAACAAAATAAAAAGCAATATTTTGTACACAAGAGTAAATAGACTTTATTGCCTCATTTATTTATTCAACAAATATTTATTGATGATCTACTGTTTGCCAGGCACTAGGCTCATTGTTGGGGACCACTGAGCTGAACAAGACATCACTGTATCTAGCACATAATCATAACACAGGGTGATATAATCTTGAATACAAGGAATACAAGATGCTGGGGAAGCACTTAGCAGTAGAAGAATGCTGGAATAGCCTTGAGAGCTGATTGACCTCATGCCCTTTATTTGACCGAGGAGGACGATGGGGTATAGGAAAGTTGAACTTCATAATCACAGAGCTCATTATTGGGAAATAACCAGACTAAAATTCATGTCTCCAAATTCTATTTTCATACTTTCTATATACCAATATACCTCTCCCTAGAAAATGATTAGTTTTGTTTTTCTCCAAAACAGTAATGATCAAGCCATGAACTTCAAGACAGTTGACTAAAGTTGGAAATGTACATTGAGAATGGAGAAAAGAATCAATATCCAACCTAACTGCACAGCATCCTGGACGGTGGCGAGGAAGGACTGAGAAGTCAGATCCAGCTGGGTTCTAAGCCTATGTCTACTGTACCTAGTGGCTAGATGATCTTGGGCAAGAGTGGAACTCTGAAAATCATTTGATTTTTTTAAAAAATCATTTAAATCAGGATAATAATATCTACATGAAATGGGAACATTTCATGACATAGTTGAATTGAGCAGATACTTAACACATGTAAATTCTCATCTCCTCTTCTCACTATTGTAAATAGAATAGAAATGATGAGAGACCAGGTCAGCAGAAACCATATTTCAGTTTATCTATTCCTTACCATTAATTTTATTATAGGATTCAGCTTCCAATTTTAAGTCATTTTTGTAGATTATTTTTGGTATCCCTTCACAAAATTAAACATTTCTACTCTGTGAATATTTTGGGAGTTAGAATGCAGAGATTAAACAATTAGATTTAGAGAAATTAATCAGCATATATCCTCTAAGAAGAGATGGGAAGAAAATAGAGTTAGAAGAAATATTTAAAATTAATTAAACCTCCTATACAATTATGTGAGTCTCCATTACAGGTCATAGAAACTCAACTAGTTTAGATAAAGAAGGAATTTATAGATTCACATATCTAGGATATTCAGGAGTAGACAAGCTTCAGGAGCAACTAAATCCAGGAATCCAAACAATAAATTCAGTGCCCTACCTTTACCTTCTTTTCTTGACTGTTTGGTCCCTGTTCTGGCTTTATTCTTGAAAAGAGTTTATACACATGCAGAAAAGGTGGCCTCTGTCCATCCCAAGCCCACCTAACCTTTACACCTCACATAGGAGGGGGGAACTTTCACTAGCAGTATGCTGATTTCAAGTTTCAGATTGATTGGTACTACGTGAGTCTCATAACCATCCAGGAACAAACTGCTGTGGCTAAGAGACAGAGTATTCTGACTACCATATGTCTGTACATTGATCAGGGGTATGCAAGCCATTCCCATTCAAGCTATATGAAACAGGCTCTCCACTGGAAAGCAGAATTGTTTCCTGAAAAAAGGTGGAAAGTGATCCTAGACTGGAAAAAAAATGGATATCCACTCAATTTTCTTTCTTTTCCCTTCTTTTAGGATTATCCAGTTCAATTCTAAATCCTCTTGGAGATCCTGGTAAGTTCATCCACCTTTCTTTGTGGTAGATTCCTATATTGGCTAAGGGGCACTTTGGGTGCAATTTTGTATGGGCAGAACTCTGCCTTCGCCCATGTCCACAACATGGTTACAATAGCACCAGCATACAAATCATGACATTTATACATTATTCAAAGCACACTGAGGTATGTTTTTACTTTGGAGATGTTTACATCCTATTTGTGTGTATACATGTTAGATAACAAAAGGTTAGAAATCATTTACTCATTGATGCAATACATGGATTCAGAATCTACTATACATAAGACACTAGGTTTAGCTCTAGGGGAGTACAAAAACCTCAGTCTCTGTCCTCGAAGGATTGGGGGGGGAAGAGCGAGATGTGTAAGAGATCACTTTTAGCATGGCATAGAGGACTCCATGGGTAAGTTAAGATTTGAGCTGGGCTTTGGAGCATAACTACAAGTTTCACTATTATTAGGAGAAGAATGACATGACAAAGAGGCCAAGACAGAAAAGTTTGAAATGTGCTTTCTTATTTGGTCAAAAGATTACAGATATGAGAGGGGTGGGAAATAAACATAGCAAGGTAGCTTTTAAACATTCATCAGTAGAGTTCTGTCTAAATATATTACGGTACATCTGCACTAGGGAACACTAAGGAGTAATTCTACAGGACAGAGCAGGTGTAAATGAGCACACCGCCAAGATATATTGAGGGAAAAAATCCAGTTTCCCATCAATAAATACAGCATATCCCCCATTTACATTAAGTAAAAATCAAATACGCATTTGTTCGTGAATGTATGTAAAAGGTCTGGAAAATCTTTATCTCAAACTGATAATAGGAATCAAATAAATTTATCAAATAAAAAGCAGTAGGAATGGGGCAAGCAGCAGGGGGGAGGTGGAGATTTTGCTTTTACTTTTACACTTTGCATTGCTTAAGCTATTATTATTCACAATAAACTTTATCGACATGTTGCTTGCTTAATAAAGAAATATTTCTTACATAAATAAAAGGAAGTTTTCTATAAATTAAGGGTCAAATTACCGACAGGATAAAGACTGTGGACTCTTAAAAATCAATGTTATTATTATTTTTGGTTCTTAATAAGGCAGGTAGCTAATACTTTAAGCTAAACATCAGGAAGGAGAGCATTTTGCAAGTGAGATTATCTTAGTGCCAATAAACAAAGAGGCAGATGGAACTGTTTGAAGGCTATCTCAAATATATATGTATAATAAACAAATATATACAAGTGTAATAAGTGAATAGATATATAAATAAATACAAGGACTAAGGAGAGAAAATAATTCTTTTTTAAGTATAGGGAGTTTAAGGTATCAAAGTGATGTCTTTGGGGCCATTCTTTAGGGAAGTGTCTAAACACAACAAGTCTGGATCTGGAGACCATAAGAGGCTGAGTCTGATTTTAGCTTAGATTTAGTAGCCATCTCCAATGAAGGAGATAGATGAAGAATGAATAAAGTTAAAAGATCATTAAGTAATAAATGGGGCCAGCAAGGCAAAGACTGTAGAGAGCTGAAGCCAAGGCCTTCAGAAAGATCTTCCATTAAGAAAGACACTTTATAGCTGTGTGACTTAGAGGCCACTCTCCCAAACTCATTCTATGAGGCCAGAAGCACCTTGATACCAAAACCAGACAAAGATACAACAAAAAAAGTAAAACTACAGGCCAGTATCTCAGATGAGCATAGATGCAAAAATTGTGAACAAAATACTAGCAATCAGAATACAGCAACACCTCAAAAAATGTGAACAAAATAATAAAGGAAGAAAAAGCTATTTGCTCATTCACTCACTGCTAATATTCTTCAAGCACCCTTTGCCAAATACTATGTAGGTTTTTAAGGAGAGAATCACAATGATGAAAACAATGGCATGGTGGTGTCTGCTAATAGGGAGCTTACACCCACTGGAATGCTAGAACCCACTAACGTTTACTGAGCATTCATTCTCTTTGCCATGGCATTTAAGTATCACATCAATCTCTAAAATAATACTATTATCTTCTTTTCAATGGATTAAAAAGTGAGAGTTACTATAACTTTGCAGTATAATTTTAGTCAGGAAGTGTAGTGCCTCCAGTTTTCTTTATTTTTATTTATTTATTTATTTGCTCAGGATTGCTTTGGCTATTCCGGGTCTTTTGTTGTTCCACATGAATGATAGGATTGTTTTTTTCTATTTCTGTGAAGAATGTTCTTGGTATTTTGATGGGGATTGCATTGAATCTGTAGATTGCTTTGGGTAGTATGGACATTTTCACAATGTTGATTCTTCCAGTCCAAGAGCATAGAATGTCTTTCCACTTTTTTGTGTCCTCTTTAATGTCTTTCAGTAGTAATCCATAGTTCTCTTTGTAGAGATCTTTCACCTTCTTGGTTAAACTGATTCTTAGGTATTTTAATTTTTTGGTGACTATTTTAAATGGGCTACCATTCTTGATTTCTTTTTCTGCTAGTTTGTCACTGGAGAATAAAAATGCTACTGATTCTTGGGTGTTGATTTTGTATCCTGCAACATTACTGAAATTGTTTATCAGCTCTAAGAGTTTTTTGGTAGAATCTTTTGGTTTCTCTATGTATAGGATCATGACATCTGCAAACAGGGACAGTTTGACTTCATCTTTTCCAATCTAAATATCCCTTATTTCTTTCTTTTACCTGATTGTTCTAGCTAGAAACTCCAGTACTATGTTAAATAGGAGTGATGAGAGTGGGCATCCTTGCCTTGTTCCTCTTGTTAAGGGAAAAACTTTCAACTTTTCCCCATTCAGGATATCAGCAGTGGGTTTTGTCATTTATGGCTTTTGTTGTATGGAGATACTTTCCTTCTATACCTAATTTGCTGAGAGTATCTTTATCATGAAAGGATGTTGAATTTTGTCAAATGCTTTTTCTGAGTCTATTGAGATAATCATATGTATTTTGTCCTTGATTGTGTTGATGTGATGTATCACATTTATTGACTTGCATGTGTTGAACCATCCTTGCATCCCTGGGATGAATCCCACTTGACAATGGTGTATTGCTGTATTGCTGTATTCTGATTGCTAGTATTTTGTTCACAATTTTTGCATCTGTGCTCATCAGAGATATTGGCCTGTAGTTTTCTTATTTTGTGTATCTTTGTCTGGTTTTGGTATCAAGGTGCTTCTGGCCTCATAGAATGAGTTTGGGAGAGTGGCCTCTAAGTCATACAGCTATGAAGTGTCAAGGACCTGATTTGAATGCCAAGTTTGTCTGCCACCACAACCCTTAAACATTGTGCCACAAGGCCTCCTGAGAAGTGGCTAGTAAAGGGGTCATGGAGAAACATCGGAATAGGAGAGAAACTAGGATTCTACATTAAAGAAGAGAAGGACAGAGCCATGGGCCTGACTGACCATGTGTCAAGGAGAATGGAAAGTAATTAAAAATCATTGATTTGGTGACTAGTCAGAGTCATGTATTCATGTACTTATTCATTTACTCAAAAAATATTTATTAAGCCCCTAACATGTATTATTGCATGAGTTTGAAAGATCAGTTTCATTTGCATGGGGCTCGATGCCAATTGTGAGGGATTAAGGAGTGAGTGGATAATGAAGTAGGATGTGTTAAGAACTCCTCTGAGAAAACTGATGATGAAAAATTTAGTGCAAGAAGGATTTGTAGGCTCTGGTACACTTTAGCTTGCATCCAGAGTGAGGAAGGAATCAGTAGAGCAAGACTGTAAATACAAGGAAGGAATGATGGTTGATAAAGACACATCTTGTGAATGGTGAAAGAGCTTGGAATGCAAACCCCTGATGCAAAGGTTCATTTATAAAAGGAGGAGAGCCCCTTCTCCTCTGATAGGGGATGGAAGAAAATGCAAAGGAACAGAGAATTTTTCAGTAAAGTGCAATCATAGGAAACTGTACCAATAAAATCACTTTGGAACAGTGGTTCTCAGCCCTTGCTCCACATTAGAATCATCTCTCAATTGTCACAAATTGTGATGCCCAGACTGCACTCCAGACCAAATAACTCAAAACCTTGAGGTTCCTTCAGGCTGCAAATGTCCAAGGCAGGCTTCCAAATAGAGCTGGCAAGATTTGACAAGGTGGGAAGATGAGGAGACATTTCACAGTATAGGAACTTGAACAAAATCTGAAAAACTAGGAGCCAATAAAAAAAATTAATTTGCCCAAGACAAAGGAAGCAAGGAAGAAGTGAGGGAGAAAATAGAAAAGCAGGTCTGTGGGTAGATCACAAAGGATCCTTGTAAGTTTTCAAATTGCTGCAAAGCAGATAAATGTGCAGGCTCTCACTTGTGACCATAAGCTCTACTAAGCACTGGATCTTTTTAGCACCGTTCACTTTTCTATTTTCTAATCCTCATCAAAGTCCCTGACACACAGTAAACTTCTAATAAACATTAGTTGAAGGAATAACTTAATAAATAAAAATTGTATAATTCAGGCGTCAGCCCAGCCCTCTCTTTAAGTGTCCAGAATACTTGAGAAAAGTGGAATTGTCTCCTACCCATTACATCACTCATTGTAAGTACTTTTCCACATCCTTCTCAGATATTCCTGAGTCTTCAGCTGGCTTCACTGGATACTACTCCAATCTCTTCATTCTTAATGCCACCAACACTAGATTGTGTGTGTATCAGATTTCTATTAAAATTCATCAAAAATGAGAAAACAATGGGGAGGGCATGCACCTATCACAGGACTCAGCATTTTATCCAAGCAAAACATTCACACCAGGACTTTGCCCACAAATTTTCATAGCAGCTTTATTTGTAATAGTCAATGACTGGACACAATACCAATGTCCTTCAACAAGTGAATGAATACAGTTGAACATTATGCAGAAAAACAGAAACAATTTTTACATATGCAACCTGAATGAATCTCAAAATAATTATGCTGTGTGAAAACTTGATGAAAAAAAAAAAGTACAAACTGAATGATTTGGTTTATATGAAATTCTAGAAATCTAATCGATCTGTAGTAAGA